TTAATTATTTTATTCGTAGCTAATATAGTATTATAAATATTATTTAAGCGTTTAGTTAAGTCGTTCTATTTATCTATTTATTTATAGGTAATAAGCTATACTAAGCTTATATTTCGTCCTTAATTATACTATAAGAGCTTACTAAAACTTAGCTATAAATATACTTCCTTTATTAAAGATAATCTTATTTAGTAGTCTATAATTACTAATAATAGTTCTTAGGAATATATATACTAGCTCTTCTATATTACTTACTTCTTTATATAGTAAGAAGTACCTATACTTTATTAGCCTATCGGTAATAACGAATATACTATTATATTTAATATTAGTTATAAGTTCTTTTAATAGTAGTAGCTTTATAATATACTTAAATACTATCGAATCCTATAGTTTCTCTAGTACTAGTAGCGGTTATAATTCTCTATATAGTCTATATTATTTAGCTTTACTTTATATATAAAGTTTATATTCTTTAATAACTTTTTATACTACTTCCTAAAGCTATAGGAAGTTATATTATTATTTAATCCGTTTTATTATTCTTTAGATTCCTTAGTATCTATATATTAAATATTTATATATATCTTATATAACTTTATCTTATAATTCTAGTAATATCTAGATTTTATTTTTATATATTAAAACTTCTAAATATCCTATATTATATTCGTTTAGTACTTTATATTCTTTTATCTATTTTAAGATCTCTTAGTATATTAAGTTATTAGGTTATACTCTAAATATTATATTTAGCTATTATTACTAGTAGTTCCCGTTTTCGTTAATTTCTAGGAGCTATCCTTTTACTATAGGTACTGCTATATTATAGTTACTTCGTCGACTAAAGGTATTAGCTCGACCGTTTTCTATTCCTTTTCTATAAATTATTTTATAGTTAAATTCTAATAAGTATTTAGCTTATTAGATCTATCGTCTATTTAACTATTATATTATTATAAAGTATAAGATATTCTTATAATCTATATAGACCTTAACTTTATATTTACTTTTAAGAAGGTAGTATTAAAACTCCTTAAAAGCTTAAATAATTATAAGGAATTCTTTATTATAAATAAGGTAATTAAGTTCTACGCTATATAGCTTCTTTAAATAAAATATAATCGGTTATAGTTTTCCTTTATTATCTTTTTATCCGATTTATACTCTTAGAGCAAAGTTTAATATATCGGTTTTAAGTTCGATTTATTATTTTAGATTAAAGGTAGTTACGACTAGTTCTTATATAATCGTAGTCTTAATATATTTAAAAGCTTTATTAGCTTTATCGTCCTATATAAATTCTTTTTCCTTCTTTATTAAGTTATATAGTAGTATTATAATCTTTCCGAAATCTTTAATAAATCGTTAATAGTAATTTATAAATCCTAAAAAACTTTATACGTCCTTAACGTTCTTTAGCGTTAGCTATTCTTTAACTAAGTTAATCTTATCTTATTATATTTATATCTCTCTTAGTAAGATCGTATATTTAAGGAAGTTTACTTCTTATATATAGAACTTACTTTTCTTTAATTTAACTAGTAACTTTATATTCTAAAATACGTAGAGTACCTTATAAACGTATTCCTTATATTCTTCTAAGGTATCTAAGAAGATTAAGATATTATCTAGGTATACTACTATAAAGATATCTAAGTATTTATATAGGATATTATTAATTATCTATTAGAAGGTAGCTAGTATATTTATAAGTTTAAATAGCATTACTAGATATTTAAATAGTCTAAATTTCGTTCTAAAGGCTATTATCTATTTATATCCCTTTTTTATATATATTAAGTTATAGGCGCCTTTAAGGTCGAGGGCTATAAACTATTTTTTACTATATAGTCGATCTTATAGTTTTAATATAAGCGGTAATAGTATTTAGTCCTTTATTATAATATCGTTTAAGCGTTTATAGTTAATAACTAGTTATAGCTTACTATTTTTCTTTAAAATAAATATAACTAGATAGCTTACTTTAGATATTAACGTTTATATATATCCCTTTTATAGATTTTCGTTAAGGTAGTTATATAGCGTTTATAGTTACTTTTCGTTTAAGTTATAGATCTTATAAAACGTTAGCGTTATTCTATCCTTAAGATAAATTTTATAGTCCTATTAACTATATTTAGGTAACCCTATCTTAAGTTCTTTCTTAAAGAGTTTATTATATTTCTAGTATTCTTAGGGGATATTCTTTATTCTATTTTATAGGCTTTAGTCTTTCTTTTAAAAGCTAGTTTCTCTTAACTTAAGCTCTTTATTAATTTATTTAAGGTCTTTCCTTAAAGTAGTAATAACTCTTTAAATCTTCGATTTATATCCTTTATTCTATTTATATTAAATGCTAGGTTATATAGCTATATTAGTTAGTATATAGGTCTTATTAGTCGATTTTATATCCGCCGGTTTAGTTACTATTTTCGTTTATATTACTTAAGCCTATAATAATTTACTTAAACGGTTATCCTTTTTACCTTATTTAGTAGCTAAATTATTATAAAATTTTACTTTCTTCTAAATCTATTAGTCCTAGAAACTTATATCTTCGTTCTAATATAGCTAGCTAGTTTTCTAGTTAATTAATAGGTTACTCTCCTATAGCTATAGAAGCCTTAATATAAGGTTATATTCTCTAATATCTATAATATTAAAGTTAACTTATTTATCGTAGTCCTAGATATTAATATCGAGGTAATTAATCTCTATATTAATAATTCTATTATTATAGTTAAAGGCCTCTCCTTTAATATTTATAAGTTTATATAAATCTATCTTATATCTCTATATAAGTTAGTAATAATTAATAACTTTAGGTAAAATATAATTACCTATCGCGCTATAGTCTAAAAGTATATATATATAATATCCCGCGATTTAGATATCTAATACTATTTAGTTATTATAGCTTACCGTTACTATATATAAGGTCCTTAGATCTTATTATATCGTGCTAGTCTATAGCCCTTTTATAGATAGTATACCTCGTTTTTTACTTAGTCTTTATTTATTTTATTTAGGTATTCTTCTTCGATTTATTATTAATATTATTTCTTTATATTTTCGTCGCGTAGTATTATATTAGGGCTTAAGAGACTAATTTCTTATAGCTAATTAAAGATTTCTTATTTCTCGACGCTATATCGTTTATATTATATTACTTTATAGTTAATTATATACTATACTTTATAATTTTATTCGTTTTTATATTAAAGGTCGAGTTTTCGTTTAGCGTCTTTATATTTTTTATATAGTATTTCTATATTAATTCTTCCTTAGTTAAATATAGCTTCTAGCCTTTATATATATTACTAATAATCTTTTAGTATACCGTTATATTATTTATACTATACTTATACTTTTTTATATTTATAAACTCTATAGTTTAGGTATATATATTTCTCGCGAAGAGAGATGCGAGAAGTGCATATAAAATGCACGAAGGTAAAAGTAGAAGTAAGGGGTCGGATAGGCAGGGCAGAGATGTTTGAATCTTGCGGGGGCAGCAATTGCAGTAGGGGAGTGATTGTTGTATTGCCTTGATTGTCCTTCTTTCCTCTATCTAACGCCCCTCTTTATACCCTTCTAGCATCTCAATTAATAAAGAAGATCCTGCTTAAAGAAGCCACTAATGTCCTTTCGACTACCGAGCTTTTTGCCGGTTTTTTCCCTCCTTTCCAGCCGTTGCCGGCATATCCGTCTTATCTCTCGCCACCTCTATAGGAAGCTATCGCCACTTCTGCTTCCCCTTATGCCCCCACCCTCCTTTCTGCACCTCTTTTTAGCTCCTTCTTCCTTCTTCCACACCGGGTGTTTTTCAGCTTCCTTGGTCCCTCTTGCTAAGGGATATCTCCGAGAACTGCGAAATCAGGCCACGCTTCGACACACCCCTAGCTATGGCCTGCCCTTATAGTAAGGGCATAGCTAATACGGCTTTGGGCTAGTGAGCGTATAGAGGAGGTTCTTAGCTCTGCACTTCTCCCTTTACTCGAGGAAAGCAGGGGCCCTTTCGGGTCCCTAGGCTCTTTTAGACCTATTTAAGGAAAAAGGGGCCTAAAGAGGGGAAAGTCCTATAAGAAAGGGCCTTCTTAGAAGGAAAACCCAATCAAAATAGGGGGCCCTCTAAAGGGAAAAACCTCTTCCTTTTCTTCGGCTATAGACGTCACCTTCTCGTACGTGCTATTAGCTCCTCTCGTAGACTCTTAAGGCGGACTTCTAAGGATAGCTTCTCTCGAACGTCTTCTAGCCTAATTTGCTGTAAAAAGACAGCCAGCTTCTACTTCGGCAGGGGCTTCGTAAGACCGTCGGCTTTTATTGATGCCGTTGGAACCTAACGGACGGAAATAAGTCCCCTTTAGACCTCTTAGCGTAACCAATGCTGGTGGATATCGATATGCCGTAGCCGGGTCGATAGCTTACTATTTTCCTCCGTAAGAATTCGTATAGTCTACGTGTTATCGCATTCTATAGCTAACGGGGACGGAATTTGCAGTCGTAACGATATTAGTAGCCGGCTAAGGAAAATCGCTTCTTTTGACGCTTCTAAAAGAGCTAGTAGCTCTACCTCCGTACTAGAAGTCGTAACGGTAGCCTACTTCGAAGCTCTCTAAGCAATGGTTCCTCTAAAAAGGGATATAATATACCCCTGTTGTAACGGGCAAGCCGCTTTAACGGCGGCTGCGCCGCCTAGCTTCTAGAACCTTCCATTGGCTCGAAGCTATAAAATGCCGTTATGCTCTTATGTAGTAGATTCTCTTTCTTTCTTCCTTTCTTCTGTATCTTGATAGTAAACAGCATAGGGACTAGTTAGTTGTATCAACTCACTAGAGGCCTTTCACATACTATCAAGATCACTGAAGACATTGAAGACACTGAAGACACCGAAGACACTGAAGACAATTGAAGACACTGAAGACACCGAAGACACCGAAGACACTGAAGACACCAAACTGAGTCCCGTCGAACTATTAGCGTTCAGCGAAGTCGCGATGGCCGAAGATAACAACAACATGCAGTCGGACGTCCTCAGCGCCCTGGTTGCCGAGATACGAAGTCTGAGAGAAGAGAGTTCTCGAAGAAACACCCAGTTTGAAGAACGTTTTATTGCCCTGGAACTCCAACAACACCAGCAAGCCCGTTCGTCTGAACTCCTAGAGCCAACGCCATCTGTCACCCCGGCTGTCCCCATTGAGGACACCCGTGTGGTCGCCACTCACAACCTCACCAACCAAGCGCCCCAAATTACGAGACATACCGAAATTCGGCGGCGACAAGGCCCAGTGGCGAAGCTGGAAACTAGAAACCGAAGGAAAGCTACGAGTCGACAAAGGCCCTGAGATGCAGAAGGCCACTTTATGTACATCTTCATGAGCCTAGAAGGCAAGGCTAAAGACAACGTGACCACATTTGTGGAGATGCAAAACGAGAAGAAAACGTTCAATGTTGCTGAACTACTCAACCGCCTCGAGTTGTTGTACGGGGAGGGATCGCAAGCAGAGAGCTACACGCAACTTGCATTCGATTAAGCAAGGAGAATGAACCATTCACGTCCTTTACCCCGCTTTGAGAGGGAGATCGCCAATGCCAACGCCGAGTATTGGCCAGACGACAGCAAGATTTCCTACCTCAGGAGGCACTAAACGACAAAATGAAAGCAGCCCTTATAGGCTCTGACCCTCTGCCATCAGCAGCTACGTTGGGCTGGCGAGGAGATGCGATTCGCTGAGCAGCCAGATGGAACTGTTGGGTCAGTGGAAAAGGCCCTGAGGCAACACAAAGAGTTCGGACAACTATGACAACCACCAGAACCATGGAGGCCAGGCCGCCCAGAAACAGTCCGGCCAGAAACTGAAGTTAGACGAGAGGACATGATGGAATGGGAGCCAACTCTACAAGCATCCGCGAAAGTGAACGCTGCGCGCACCCGCAGTGATAAGAACACATATGGTCACCAATCCAACCGACCAGAAGACCAAGCGCTGTTGGCGCGTGCAAAGTGGGTCGATCAGACCGAGATGGACGCCTGTTACCGTGAAGGGCGTTGCCTTCGTTGTGGAAGAGACAACTGCAGGATCGAGCGCGCCCATTGGCTGCGCCTATCCGACCCGCAAACGCGACCCGTCGCACTCAGGTCAATGCCGTGGCTCCGACACGACCAGCGGTCACTAATGCCGAGATCGCCGAAGACGAAGCTTCGTCTCATAGCGATGAAGATTCAGACTAGGGACACGCGGCGGCTGTGAGAGAATGGGATGTGAGCGAAAGCAAAATGGACGGAGAACCGTTCATAGCAGACGTCAGGGTGAACGGCACAGACTTTGTGCCATCTTGTCGACTATGGCTGCCTCTGCTACGGCGCGGTTAGCAAGCGCACATTTCACTCTCTCCAGTTGCCACATATACGCGTCCAGCCGCGCATCTTGAGAATGCAGCGGAGACGGCAAGGAGGTCAAAATCGACAAGATCACGTATGTGTCGATCGACCTCGATGGACATCAGCAGCATCGTGTTTTCGCGTACGTCATCGACGATCTTAACTGGGACATGATCCTGGGTAAACGATGGATGGAAGACCAGGATGTTCACATCCACGCAAAGGAAGGATATCTCGAGATCGGGTCCAGTGGAGTTCAAGCACGAGACCGACGACGTTACCAGCCTCCCAGCTAGACGTCTCTAATGTCATGGCCGCAACCTTTTAGCGGAAGCACGCCGTGACAAACGCAAAGGCGGCATTGAGTTCACTCGGTCACAATGGCGGATATTGACAAGGCCCTAAGACCGAAACCGAAGACTGACGTAATGGAGAAGCTGCCACCACAGTACCACAAGTGGTCTCGAGCTTTCTCTCAGCAACTGGCCGACCAGCTGCCCCCTCATCGGCCAGGTGTGGACCTGAAGATCGAAGTGCTGAAAGACGAGCATGGCCGAGAGAAGCCCCTACCCTGGGGACCGCTTTACAGCATGTCCCGCGAGGAGCTATTGGTGCTACGAAAGACCTCACATAACTACTCGACAAGGGATTTATTAGAGTCAGCAGCTCGCCAGCCGCAGCACCAGTCCTTATGGTGAAGAAGCCCGGTGGAGGCATCCGCTTCTGCGTGGATTACAGAGGTTTGAACCATATAACGAAGAGGGACCGCTATCCTGCTCCTTACTGAGCGAGACCTGCGAACTATAGCCAAGGCAAGGTGGTTCACCAAGGTAGATGTAATAGCAGCGTTCCATAAGATCAGGTCGCCCCGCCGACGAAGAAAAGACAGCTTTCAGAACGCGCTATGGATCCTTCGAATGGCTGGTAGTTCCATTCGGCCTGACAGGCGCACCAGCAGCCTTTCAGCGGTACATTAACAGCGCGCTCCAGGATTACTCTAGACGATTTTGTGTCAGCATATATCGACGATGTCCTGATCTTCTCCTCTGAAGCCTGCAAGACCACCGCGACAAAGTCGGCAAGGTCCTCCAACGACTGATGGATGCTGGGCTGCAACTGACATCAACAAGAGCGAATTCGAAGTCAAGGCTGTGAAATACCTTGGGTTTATCATCGAGGCGGAGGTGGGATCCGAGTCGACCAGAGAAGGTTGAGGCTGAAGGGATGTGGGCAACCTCGACGAATGTTAAATCCGTGAGGAGTTTCATCGGATCGCGAACTTCTACAGGATATTTATGCCAGACTTCGGTGATAGCTGAGCGCTAACGCGGCTAACGAAGAAGGACGCCATTCCGTTGGGATGGATTGTGCGACGAAGCCTTCGAGAAGCTCAAGGACCTGTTGATCACGGCCCCGATCCTTGCCCATCCAGAAAGGAGACTATCTTGGAAGCAGACGCTTCCAGGATTCGCGTCGGGAGGCGTGCTCTTGCAGAGAGATGATAAGGTGGACTGGTACGACCTGTCGCATACTTCTCGAAGAAACATTCGGCAGCCGAAGGAACTACGCTATCCATGACAAGGAGCTACCGCCATTCTCAGATGTTTGGAGCAGTGGGAACCAGAGCTACGGGCAGTAGAGCACTTCAAGATCCTAACGGACCACAAGAACCTGAGATACTTCTACTCGGAAAGGAGGTTGACAGAGAGACAAGTGCGGTGGTCGGAGTTCCTGTCCAGGTTCCAATTGAACTCGAATGGAGGCCGGGCCGCAAGGGCGGATTGCCTGACGCACCTCTCGACGGGACCACATGCCGGCCAACCACCTGATGAACGACTAAAGGACGCATTATGAGGCTATTCAAGATGATCACCTTAGAAGGGTCCCAATATCGACATTGTCTACCAACACCGAGGGTGCCCAGGAAATCAACTTCGAAAAGAGATCAGATATTTGAAGATGAGGAGTTACAGCAGCTGTGGCACGCTGCACGCCAAGAAGACAAGCTCATCAAGAACTCACGAAGCTGGTAGCAGATGGCGAAGAGTTTACAACAGAATTACAGAAGGAGAAGGTTGTCGCATTTCAGAGTGCTCATTAGACAATAGAGGCCTGCTGTGCTTTAGAGAACGCGTCTGGATACCCGGTTCGGAGCCGCTACGTACGAGGATCATCCAGGAAACCTACGACTCATATCACCGACATCCTGGAAGGGACTCACGTACTCGACTCTGTCGAGACGCTTCTTCTGGCCGGGTGCCGCTAGCGATGTACGTCGGTTTGTGCGCAACTGCGAGGTTTGCGACGAAACACCATCTGGAGGGATACAAAGAAAGGACTCCTAAAGCCGCTCCCTATTCCGCAACGCATATGGAGCGAAATTACCATTGACTTTATCACTGACCTCCCACCGTCGGGGGATGGCGCGACGAACTGCATGGTGGTCACGGACCGACTCACCAAAGGCGTCGAACTCGAAGGATTGTACGATATTTCTTCAGAAGCGGTTGCAAGAAGACTATTCGAACGACATTACCCTGTCCATGGCATCCCAACGGCTATAACCAGTGATCGGGGTCCCCAGTTCGTCAGTGGTATGTGGAAACATTTCTGTCAGCTGCTAGGGATCGAGCAACGGTTGTCGACAGCGTACCATCCACAAACCGACGGTGCAACAGAACGAATGAACCAAGAGGTAGAGAGGATTTTCGGATATGGACAAACTATCTGCAAGAGAACTGGTTAGACTTGCTTCCAATCGCGATGGCGACTATTAACGAGCGGGAAGCAACCTCCACCGGACTGAGTCCGTTCTTCTTCATGCATGGCTACCATAATGAGCCAATCCAGTTAGTTGAGCATCGAAGAACGGAAGACACGACACACAGGAGAAGCTGCAGCGGAGGATTTCATTCAGAGACTACAGGACGCCACGGAGTTTGCGCAAGCAGCGATAGCTATGGCCCAGGAAATACAGCAAGCACAAGCCAACAAACACAGGACGGCCGCACCGAGATACAAGCCTGGGGATTGGGTATACCTCAACTTGAGAAATGTCAAAACATCGCGACCCTGCAAGAAGCTCGATTGGTTACATGCCAAATATCAAGTGCTCGCCGAAGTCAGCCCACATGCCTACAGGTTGGATGTGCCTGGACGCATCCATTCAGTCTTTCACGTCGATCTACTCCGCCAGTCCCTGAGACCCATTGCCTTCGCAGAAAATCAATCAAGAGAGTGCCCCGCCGGTGCTGGTGGACGGCCAAGAGATGTACCTGTCGAAAGAATTCTGGATGAAAGAATGGAAGGTACGAGAAGAAGGTGCTCGTAAAATGGCATGATTACTCGCAGCCACGTGGGAGCCCCTCGCCACTATTCGACACACTGATGCATGGAAGCAATGGAAGAAACATCAAAAGAGTGTCACCTTCTCAAGTCATCTTCACACAGATTGCCACAATCCCACGGAAGAGGAAACGTTGGAAGGGAGGGAGGTAATGTAACGGGCAAGTTGCTTTAACGGCGGCTGCGCCGCTAGCTTCTAGAACCTTCCATTGGCTCGAAGCTATAAAATGCCGTTATGCTCTTATGTAGTAGATTCTCTTTCTTTCTTCCTTTCTTCTGTATCTTGATAGTAAACAGCATAGGGACTAGTTAGTTGTATCAACTCACTAGAGGCCTTTCACACCTGTGAGCTCTTTCTATCTAAGGAATTGTCCGCAAAGGACGAATCGCTCGAACAGAGGAAGATTTCGGCAGCTAATTTCTTCCTTTCCTGCCCTCCTAGGCGCAGACTATATGATCTCGTTAAATAGAGATAAAGGATTGCTCTGTCTGCCGCTTCTTAATGCCTAGGGCTAGGATTCTAGTTATGCCTAGCTAGCCGGGAGACCGTAAAAGAGATATCCGGTCTAGTAGAAATAGCTGAAAAAGCAGGAGCCCACCTTCTATTAATATTAGTGTTTCTCTTGCTCCCTGGCTTAAAAGGACGGATTAGGCAAAAGCTCTTCTCAACATAGCGTAGAGGGAAGCTTATCGAGGAATTAGGGAGGAATTTATAAGCGACCTTATCGATATAGGCGTCCTAGGTAAGCTAGATAGTCCGTTAGGACCTATTCCGAAGGATTCGTATCCCTAGGAACCACTTTAGCTCCCCTAGCCTGGTCATCTTATACCTTTGTTGCAGGCCTCGTATAGCCTCCCTAGCAGTAGCTTCTTCCTCTTTTAGGTACGCCTAGATAATGTCGTCGACGTAGAAGAAGACCGTGATTTTACCCTTCTATATTATACACGGTTCCTAAGGGACTTTCTTAAAGCCTAGGGCTTCGAGGGAACCTATTAAATGCTGTTGCTAAAGAAGGGGTGATCTTCGTAATCTGTATAGAGCTTTCCTAAGCCGTAGAACCTTTCCTAGCTATTAGAAGCCTAGTGGAAGGCGTATATAGATAACTTCTTCTTCCTCGAGTGGGCAGTTAATAAAGGCGTTGACTGCATCTATCTAATCGAGCTCGAGGTCGAATTCTGCTGCTATAGCTATAAGGGTCCGAAAAGACATCCCTACTAGGGTAGTTGCCCTAGTAGGAAGATCCCCTTTTTCTTGCTGGTTCCCGTAGATAACTAGCTAGGCTTTGCACTTTTAAAGGAAGCCGTGTTTATTAGTCTTATAGATAAAGACCCACTTATAGCCAAGGACCTGTTTTCCTCTTGCCTTTTCCTTAAGGACCTCTTCGAAAGACCCTATCTCTTCGTGTGAGGCTAGGTGGTCTTTCTGGGCCTGGAAAAACTAGTCTCTAAAGGGGTGTCTTTCTAGCTGCTTCTGGTTTGCTAGTGGGTCCGGGAGGTCTCTTTTATGTACCTTCCTTGCTGATACTGGCTTAAAAAGCCGGCCTGCTGTGAACGCTCCGTGGGAACCGTCTTCTATTAGCGTTGGGTAGAAGTCGGAAAAACGATCGAAATAGGGGAGAGGTTGGTCTTCTTTCGTATCGGGCCCTATACCTTCCTTTGCTTCTCGAAGCAGGGACAAAAAGGCAGCCGGATAATCCTTCGAGAGAGGTGCCTTTCCTACCCCCTTAGGGGCCGAGACGGGAAGACTGACTGAAAAAGCTGCTTCTAGATCTTCTTCTTGTTCCGTAAGAGGAGGCGTAGGGAGGTAGGCGTATTCCAGCTCTACCGCTTTCCTATAGTCTCCTTCTTCGTCTAGATCATCTGATCTAGCAGCTTCCTCTTCTTCTTCTTCGAAGTCGGCGTTATCCTCGACTGCTTCGACGTCGGTTTCTTCTTCTATTTCCTCGTCTAG